GAATTGCATGAATACCCTATTCTACCGGAGACAGAAAGACATACATGGACTGTAAAGACTTCTAATCATTTGGAAAAACCTAGATATGTGATAGTTGGACTGCAAACGGACAGAAGAAGTAACATAACTGCTGATGCAACATTATTCGATCATTGTAAACTTAAAAACTGTAAACTGTACCTTAACTCTCAATTCTTTCCATACGACAATTTAAATGTTTCTTTTGAAAAGAAGCGGTATAGTATTTTATACGACATGTATGCAAGATTTCAATCTTCATATTATGGCAAGGCAAACACACCATTACTATCACCAACTGAATTTAGTTCAAAAGCACCTATCGTGGTTATTGATTGTTCAAAACAAAATGAATCCGTTAAATCTTCTAGCGTGGATATTAAATTAGAAATGGAGTTTGAATCCAACATACCTTCTAATACAAGTGCGTACTGTTTGATTCTTCATGACAAAATTGTAACGTACACACCTTTAACCGGTATAGTAAAGATGGTTTTATAAGCCTCAGCAAGACAAGGTATAAATAGCAGTCACTTAAGCAAGGATTCAGTTTATATTTGTCAGTGGTTGAAGCAACATATGATACTGTAGACATGAATTCTTTAACGGACAAAGATAAAAGCAGTACCAAAGTGGAAGAAGAGGTGGTTGTTAGAGAAGAAGAATATGACGCAAAAGTTAAGCTTTGTGAAGATGAATTATCAGAGTTTCTAAAATTCCATACTCAAGATAACAATGATATGGACAGTTGTGAAAACAGTGTTTTTGTAACTAACTCAGCGCTAAAGAGGAAGAAAACCCCCGAAGACGACCTTCCTCTTAATATGTTAACGGATATTTTCCTCCGTATATTTTACCCCATTTCAAGATGTATGTCTAAAGGCATTGCAATCGGATTAGTGAAGGACCTATCATACGCACCTAACGCAATTTTAAATCATGGAGCAAAAATGTTGTTTTTTTCGGAGCATGCTTGGGACTCATTCATAAAACATTTGCACTTAATCGAATGTTATTTGGCTAAAAACATGTTTGGTAAAAAAACGGCTGTTCGGTTATTGGATTGTGACATAGAAATAGATATTTATAAGTATCGTGGAGGACAGCAAATACGTTTCAGAGACCTATCAAAACACGATATTAAGATTCAACTAACAAGAGAAGAATTTTATGTTTTGGGTTGTGCCGCTTCACCTGTAACTAGATACATGAAACAACTAACATTTTCAAGCTCTGTAATAAAAGAATATTTAGTGGATGCTATGGATCAATACCCTGACTCCCAGATTCTACACGGACCGATCGATACATCAATTTTTAATCGAATCCCCTATGAGGTTGAAATGTGGCGGAGTATAAAAGACTACGAGATCAATAAGACTACAACGGATGACGTAAAAGAAAATATTGAAGAAACACAGCCAATCTAAGTGTGTTTTAGTTTGAAATAAAAAAAACTAATTTAAACTCGTGGGGTAGGCCTACTTGGGGATGATGCCCACGTTAAATATACATCAACGCGCCTTAACTGTACGGCCTGGTATAAATATAAAACCTACCGTGGTGTGGAAATCAGTTACTTGACATTCTTACCATGGAGCAGAGGGTATGGTTCTCAGACAAAGTTAAAACAATAGAAGAGAAACCCTGTGTGATTGAGTTCCAAGCTTTTCGTGGAAATACAAATGAATATGTTGTTAAGGAGTTAGTAATTTTAGATTTATTAACGTACGTTGTCTATCCCTTTATGTTTAAACCACCACATTCTTTTAAAAAACTAAATTCTAAAGCCAAGTTAACTAATAAGTGGGTTACTAGGAATTTTCATCACATTGCATGGAATGAAGGATTTTTAGATCACAACACTGTAGATGATGTAATGTATCACTTTTGTGCGAAATTCAACCGTATTTACACTAAAGGTTTGGAAAAACGAAGCTGGATTCAAAAATATACCATTGGTAACGTGATTGATGTAACGATTGACTCAAATTTTAAAGTGTGTTATGACGGTATTTGTCTTGCAGGCAAAAACAAATGTCATCGTCAAGGTCAATGTGCTTTAAAAAATGCATACCGTATAGCATCATTCCTAAACCAAAAGGAGAGCTGCGGTAGTGGGGGAATCGATGGGTATAAATATGAGGAAAGTGTGCAGACAACACATCAGTATTGTTCCAACCTAGGACAGGAAAACACCTACAGCTTGACCAATAAAGATGGCATCTCAACTCCAGAACCTTGTTGATCAGTTCAACACTCATTCAAAGTCAAGTGTTTTAATTACTAAAAAGTGTTCAGAACTTAAGGAACTAAAACATTATATTGTGCATAGAATGAAGAAAATGGAAACATCTATTGGGGACGCTATTCTAGTCTCCTTAAGCGATGCACCTTTTACTCCAGGAGATGAACCAAAGTTCCAAATGTTTCTTCCAAAACGGTTTGTCAGCATGTTACAAAATGAGGATCTACGCAGCATCGAACCGGGCTCTCTCTATTTGGTATCTCATGGAGTTAGTGGGAACAACTCTACAGAACTCTCTTTGCACTGTTGTTAGAATAAGAATATTGTACAAATGATTGTATATAAATAAAATATTATAAATTATCATGTTAGTATTTTGTCTAAAATACTAACATGATGTTTTTTAAAAACTGATATGGATGACCTTGACCTAAATCAGAAACAACATTTTTACAATCGATTACAAACTAGCTAACCCCCACCCCTCTTCTTTGCGTATAAAACGTTGCTAACAGTTGGGTTTTAATCATTTGGATTGCAGCGAGCCATCTACTCTCTTAATATGTCCGCAACCATTTTGAAGATTAAAATTGCCTTTCCGAACTATACTCACTTTCAAACTAGGCTAAATTCTTTTGAAAAAAGTTTACATAACTCTGTCGTAAACAATTCCAAATGGGAATTATCCGAAGCAGGGTTTTTTTACACTGGGAAGAATGATGAAACTATATGTTACTACTGTGGAGGAGGATTAAAGGATTGGCAAGAAGAAGATGATCCGTGGCAAGAACATGCACGATGGTTTCCAAGATGCCCCTTTGTGGTTGTTAACAAGGGGCAAGACTTTGTGAACAAATATTCCAAGCGAATAAATAAAAATGTGATAGTTAAAAAGAGAAGCTCAACCAAAGGCGTAGGAACAAACGAACCTGTGCAAAAACAAGGATCGGAGTGCATAGTATGTTTGTCCGCAGAGAGGGAAATTGTGTTTTTACCTTGCAAACATTTTTGCAGCTGCATCATGTGCGGCCTAAGTGTTGACAATTGCGTTTATTGTAGAACCCCTATTATTTCTGTGATGAAAATATTTATGGTGTAATACGAGGCCCTTTAAAAAGATTAGTGGTGGGGGTAGCTAGGAGGGGGGGGGGATGGACTTTACCTATAAATACAAGAAGATAGTCCTATGCCTTCAATCGTTCTGCAGACTTCCTAGAGGCAACTACAGCTCAATACAACAATTATGTCTCTCAAGGTGAAGTTTGTCCAGTACGACGATGTTCAACTTTCAACCTACCATGATATAGATGTTTTTGCTGAAGAGTTGAGAGTTCTACTTGCAAGTGGGTATGCAGTTACAGTAACAACAACAGCCAACAGCACTCTGCTTCCAGACTACGGAGCTTACAAACCACCATGCCCCAATCGAAGAAAATTTGAAACCGACCATTCAGCATTCAACATATATGGAAGCAGCAGCTCTACGACGAAGAACGATTCCAACACTTCTTAGATTTAACTTAGATTTAACTACTTTACATTATTATTACTATTGTTGATTGTAAAAAAAATAAATGAATAAATAAAAAATATTCTGCACTATTTATCCATTAGTGCAGAATATTTTTTAAAAACAGATTCAGATGACCTTGACCTAATAACAATACCAACCAATCCACAACATACATCGCCAGAGTCGCTGCGTAATTCACGCTGCTCCACAATCACAAAATACTTACCAATTACCTAATTATGACGTCACGGGATCACCCCCGTGTTTTATACTACTTAGGTACCATACAAAATTATGATATCACGGATATTAAAACAGGAAACTGCACACATATTAAACATAAACAAATTACGCCGTTGACCCAAGTAAATAATAATTAGCGTAACATCTGTTTGAAACACTTTTCGACCATTACCATTCTCTAATGAATATAAATAGAAAAACGTTTACTTTCAGGTCAGTGAAGTAGTTTGTTTATCTTATAATACATACCGTTATTTATTCTAGTATCTGTGAAACGTATTCAGGGATAATATTATCAGAAGGAATTTGTTCAGGGCACCGTGCAGCAAATAGCGAGCAACACCAAATGCTGACTATTTCAACAGGATTTGTTTTTCAATTTTTTTTTCATCTATTTTACATTATATTTTTTATTTTTCAGTCAGGGCATTATAATGCAAGTTGTTTAATGAAGTAGCAATGAAAAAGTTTATATGCAGTGTAGTAGTTTTAGACACTTGACCAGGACGTAGTGTGGCCCTTGGCCAGTAGAGAGGTATTTGTGGAGACCTAACCAGAGATCCGGGTCAATAGTCACCAGCTGTCAATGTGTGATGGTAGAAGCAATGTCACCAATCCAACAGATAATTAGGTTTATAAGAAAGTTCAGTAGGTGAGATTCGTCTATATAATCAATGTATTTCACATTATAATTGCTGTTTTAAGAAATTCTAATTCTTATATTCTCCAACTATACATACATTAGCATTATAAGACACTAATATCAGTTTGCAAATCAGGATCTTTCGTGTGCTGTTGATTGTCTCTTTTAATAATTTAAAATCCTTGATGGAATGGAAACCATCAGACGGTTGTCATGACGACCAGATGAGGCTGGGTTGGTAACCATGGCAACACAACAATGGTGTCAACAACAGCTGGCAGCGAGTAGCTAGTCACTAGTCAGTGTGGGCCGTGGTGTTGTCGCGGACGGTTGTCCTCGAGCCCTGAGTTGTGGTGATGTTTCTGCCCACATACAACACTGACAGTAACCTACATACTTACGTGCGAGTTTCATGTGTCTGATCCCGAACTGTCCTTCATAATATATTTGGTAAGCTACGTAACTTTTCATTGCAACTAAATCGTGTCGTTCATAGCAATTAATTATATGCAGGTTCAAAAAGTCTTTATTAAAATTACAATATTTGTGCACAAGGCTTACATAAAATGTGTGTTCGTAGTGTTAACTGATTTTTCATTCTGAATAGTATAAAAATACCTAAAAAATTTGATAGAAAATGTAAAATGATAAATGGAAATACATAAACTAAGTAATAAATATTCGTCCTCATAAACTATGCGACGTATTGGGTCCAACTAAGTTTTTATTTTTTTTTTATAATACTAACTATGCCAAGCATTTAACAATATAATTCATTTGCTATAAGGCTTATGAACAAGTATTGTAATAATCAAACAATGTAGGCTATACATGTGCCCTTTGTATAATCGTACCAAGCAAAAAGTTAGACGTGTATGCTATGTTGCGTGTTTTGTGTAAATTGCATAGCTCAAATATCGTACATAAAACACATTCAATTTTCAGACATCTCATAAATCAAGACCTTATTTTCTTTACCTTTTGATCAGGGAAATATTTGATTACTATCTGTACTCAATATTTCATATTTTTACAAGATTCATTATAAAGCTATTTAACTATGAGTGTAATCATTACTCGAGATATTCTCTAGTCATAGTGTAAACCCCCCAGCTGTGCTGTCGATACACACCCTTGGGACTGGTCCCGATGTCTCTTTAATAAGGAACCCGATAATGAGATTCCGTATATAAGATTCAAAGAGGAGGGGATTGTCAATAGATTACATACTACAATGTCTTGCTTCTAAAAGATATCTCCAGCGACTGTTTGATAAAAATATAAATTTATATATAATATGTAGGCCTAATGTTCCTGTGAATTTATTTTAATTTATCATCTAACAATTATTGGCAATACAATGTTCTATAATAAGCTACTAGATTGCGAGTTAGTCTGTTATAGCTATACAATTTTGTATTGAATGCTTTTGACCGAGATGGGTTATTGTCTGGAATATTGTATCACATATTACAATAAACACACTCGACAGCTACAAAATGTCATATTACAGTATATATTAAGTCAATAAATTTAAATAGTGTTGGTGGCACCTATATTAAGTGATTCGATAAGTATGCTCAGCTTATGATCTTCATCAAAAAAGAAATAATTTCCTTTTGCATGCGTAATATTTGCGGAATCATATTAATAGGCAATTAGATATTATTTGAATAAGCGTATAACATATAACCGTTCGTTGCATGCTTTTTTTAAAAGCATTGTAAAATCACAGGAATAAATTATCTTTCTGTGGAAAACTAATACCTAATTAACCTAATTTACATGTATACCTAATTTTATAAGTCTCATTACAAAAACGTTGTTTTCTGTGGGCAAATGTTACCAAACGTATTTAAATAAGCTAAGTTACGTATTCTTGAGGAAATCAAACTAATAAAAACTCTACCGCATCAATCAATTTAGTTAGGTACAAGTAACATTGAATCGATGCATTGATAAAAATGTAATCAAGTTTTGACAACATTGTAGCACTTCTTGCATGTAATTCAGTCAATATTTGTATTCGCAGTTCCGAGAAGTTTCTTGAGTTCTGTTACAAAGTTTCGATACAAACGTCAATAATGCACTATAAAGGTGTTGTTTCGTATGTGGGCATACTGTTTCTTTAGGAACCTACTTCTAGGGATAAATAAAAAGGGTACTTAATTCTTTACTGCAAGTCACATTAGCTAACTGCTCAACAAAACCATTTCAGTAGTATAAAAAAGAAGAAAAGTTGGTAAAAGTTACAGAAGAACTGTAGTAGGTCTAATATTTTTACTGCCAATTTTTAGAAGTTAAAATAATTCCTGACTCAAACAACAATAAGCTACATCCAATTTCATTGTTTATAGGACTAAACATCCTACAGAAAATTCCTACCATCATTTGAGTTCTTAACTTTTGGCTAATCTTTCGATCGTAGCTTTAACCGAGGGTTTCTTTAAACTGTTTCACTTATTTCTGACCATTATGTACAATATATCATACCATAATACAGTACAGTTTATAATCCAAGTAATCTACTCTTATCACTATACTGTAGAAGAGGGTATTTTCTATCATAGTGTTTTATGATTTATACATCACGGTTCCATTACAATTTTGTACTACGTTCCACAATCCATGAACATAATGATATCACAGTATATTACAACAACAAACATTATTGCACATTAATATTGCAATAAGTGTATATATCTAACTCCTAATTGAGTAGGGCTGTTAGTGAACCAACGTATTTTTACGTGATGCTGAAATCAATTATATTGGTAACCAGCCAGTGTATGAGCCACGCGCTCGTGGCAAAGCTACTTTGTCAAGCCACGTTGACTTGCACGAGCTTTTATGTAATGGATGCTTTGTGGCGAAGTTGAGCAAGGTCTTAGAAGATTACCCGATTGACGCTATACCTTTAGGAAAAGAGTTTAGGATCATAAATTAATATTACAAAATGCGATTAGTCAATTTAAAATATATCAAACGTCAATAATTTTTAAACCATTTTCAGGAAAAGTGTAATGTATATAAAAATGTTCTACCGTATTTAATTTTGGTTTGTTCACTATTTGATTTTCAAACTGCCATATAATAGGAAATAAATGTCACGTACGATTTTAAACGTTACAATAAACCGTGCAATTTATGGACCGATCTTATGATGCGTAACATTAGTTTTGCTTGCAAATCTTACCAAGAAACACAACAGAAACCGTCGACACAGTTACTACGGTGAAGATTCCGAAGGGAAAGTAGGCAATGTCCAACTGAGTTGGAAGAATGGGTGATAAAATCGGCGTTGTCGCGGACGGAATTGCAAGTAGCCCTAGTGATTACAACAATCGGCACCAGCCAGCGCTGTTCTACCATGTATGGCGGCCATTACTGCTGTATGTAGCTTACAGATTCGCTCTCACAACTGTGTAATATTTGACTGTAGATCACTTTGTGATTCAACTGCTTCTTTTTAAATAAAATAATTGTTACAGCTGGTCCATAGAAATATGATGTGTATTTCAGTGTCCAAAATTAGATGGCTTGGCCCACTAGAGAAATAATTTATTCTTTTCTGCCAACAGGAAACCAAAGCACATTGAAATAATTTGAACAACGAATGACCAAGCTAAGTATATAAGCCAGTGGCTCAAAAATATTGCAGCCAGTAAATATTAAGCTCATTAAGACAGGCGTTCAAACTCAGATTTTTTAAAGATTTTAGAGGAAAATTATTTTCCAATTCGCTTGGTAACAAAAACAACAAATTGCAGGTTTTAAAGCTTTACACGGTGTATATTTCCATTAATCAGCTTGATGAAAATGTTTTATGCTGATAGAATCAAATACGTTAAAATACTGTGTGATTAATTACTATGTTTGCCGCTTTTTATATCAACAAATGTTTCAGGGTCAAAACTCTTAATTAAATCTTCAATTCAGGAGCTTTCAATGTAGTTTGAAAATGATTTACAATTCATGAGTTTATTAACCGTAGTAACAAAAAGCCCTAAGTACCGGTAACGAACTGGTTTTGCATTTATGCAACTCTGCTGGATTTTCGTGTTTATCTGCGAATATATTAAACCCTAACACTCTTTCGCCCGGTTTGAATGAGGTTTGCAATTGGATGATCATCAAACGACCTTTTGTTATGTTTGCACTTTGGGAGTTTTAATCCTTACTTAACGGTTAACCCATTCAATGTTACATGTACTACATTCATTAGTTTATGTATTTTTTTACTATATAAAAACAAATCAATTTGTTTACTTTGAGTTTAATGTGTGTCCATTATTACTTTCAAAGTGTTTTAATAATTATTTAATTACAAAACAATCAATTAATTATATTCAGCACACAGGATTGCCTAAATGATGTTGTTCGGATATAAAATTTAGTTAAATTAAGTTTATCAGATCAGATGAAACACCACTTTAGTGCAATCAGCCGCGGGCCAGTAACGATTCAGTTACCTGCCGATATTAGATTACTTTAACGATTTAAACTTTAAAATGTAAAAGTAATACACGTTTTTATGTTAAAATTTTTTTTAAATTTATTCAGTAAACAACGCAAAATATTCTTGACAACATAAAAAATTCGTTTTAGAACATAACATACACTTTAACCAATAAAAAATAAATAAACCCAGCAAACTTATAAACATGCAAGATTTAGATTTTATCAACTTTATATGGAGTAAAAAGAGAGTTGGAATTTTAAAATTTAAAAAGATAAACAAGCTCAGATAAATAAGGCGTTCCTTACATTGTCAATCCATCTAAAACTTCAAACAATAAATCAGTTTATAGTTATTTATTTTATGTGCTATCAAATGAATTAGCTGCATGGTATATGATCAAGGGGGTCTTTTTTACCTGAAAAAAAAATAAAAAATAGCGTGAACACATAATATGATTAATTTTAATAATTTTAATTTTAATAGGATTAATTTTAGTTCTTTCAAAAACATATACAAAGGTAAATACAATTTATAAGTTGTGTTGTATGTAACATCATCAGTGGCGATCTATAGTTGATTGCCTCCCATTCTTTTATTGTTGACCGTACTGATACATTAACCATTCCGACAAAATTTATAATTCAGATACATTTTTTACTTTACATCACTTTCAAAATTAATGCTTTTCGGGTTATTAAGGAATGTTTTAGCACATTAATCCCTTCAAGTACAATACTTGTACTCATTCCAAGGTATGTGGGTGTTCTGCTAGTACAGCGTTAAGCGTTTTGAATTTCGGTGTGAGAGGGACAGGATGGATAAAAAATATACGAACAAATTTAATGGGTTTGGACTACTTACCCCCAAAAAATTATTGATACATTCCTTGAAAATGCCATCGACAGTCGATACAAAACAGATAAACGCAATGATTGCCTCACAGTTGCTCCAACCAGCAAGATATGTGGCAACTGACAAATCCAACAAC